ACTTGATGGACACCCCAGCATTGCAATAAAAACTTGGTTAATAAAAAAAAAACACCCCAGCATTGCGTGTTGCGCCCTCCCTCTCTTGGGGTGCAGTACTACGATACCGCTGGGGTCATTTAAACCCCCAGAACTAAGCCTCTACTTCAGTCAATCCTCTTTGCTCTCCACCCGCCATTTTCATTTCTTCCGACTTTCTTCAATACGATTTTTGAACGTTAGCCATTACGCTTTCCTCTGTATATATAAAAGTAAAAAAAATTTCACTTCCGAATAGAATTGATCATTTTTTAATTGTGTTTTTCAGCAATTAATCGTTGCTCGATGAAAAAATTTGAAGTTCAAAAAAATCACTTTCCTCCCCCAAATTTCGATTTAGTCCCAGGGGATGTGAGAATTTTATTATTTTTCCCGGGGAAAATTTATCAGAATTCAATCACTAGTTGATAAATTAATAATCCTTTGTGCTAAGAAAATCGACAGGGATAAAAAACTAGGATATGAAATTAACAAATTCGTTCTTACCTTTTAATTATCAGCTAAAATACAATATTTGAAAAAAACGATGACTAGCACACATTCGGGAATCCCTTTGTCATCTTACAAAAGTACTAAATCGATACAATATTTTTTTCTTCTATTCAATATTGTAAACGCTAAGCACCTTACGAGCTTCAATAGCAATTTCGTTGCGTCGTGTTTTTTTAGGAAATAAATGTAACAATTGTGATAACTACTCCGTTGATTTCCATTTTAATTTTAATCGAAAGAATTACCAGTGACAGCTCTTAAGACCGTGGGATCAGAATTATTACATTTATTCATCAGCGAATACTGCAAATTGAAAATAAAAAATTTGTCATCCTTTTTTCTATTGTTTTTTAATCGTTATAACAATAAATAAGTCAATAGATTAATACCGTAACGATAGAATACTCAGTCACGTAGAAAATTAAGTACGAATAATGGTTTTTGTGCTTGAAAATAAAACAATTATTCTCATTGACACATTAAACATGAATGAAAAAAAAAACAGAGGGAGTACTTGAGTTTGATTTTTGGAATGTTTCCACCTTAACTCAACTATACATCAGGCTTTATTTTTTTTTTCTATGAATAAACCTGAATTCCACCTGTTTGTTGGGGTTATTGGAAGTATTGATCTCAAAAAATACGAAAAACTCTCACTCCAACGCATTTCAACTATTTAAACAAAACTATTTAAACTTGAATCACATGTTCTTTCAAATTCCTCCACTTAAATGAATATCAGTGAACCCAATGAATTCATTGGGAAATTATTCAATTCTAACTCATTGGCTTGAAAATTCAATTCAATTAATAACTCTCGAACACTGGAAATTAGAGTCTAGTATTTTCATTCGTTAGTATCCATCGACTCATTACAGAATGGCATTAGTCTCACCATTGGCAGCTATTTTATTAGGCTTCGATTGTTGCACGTAATTGTACATTGTTTGGAGAGGAACATGAAGAAGCTCCACGATTTCTAAAAAATTTGGCTCTGCAATAAAAAAATAAATCAAATTATGAGTATGAGATCTCATTAAAATTTCCAATCCATCAATATTAATCAACACGAGGAGAAATTGAATAATTAATAAAACAAACCATTTTCCGGGGTGATGTACCCATGTCTGATCAAAAAATCAAGTGCAACTGGAATCGACGTAGTCTTAAAATGGGGTGAGAGTATCCTCTCGATGCATTCATTAACTGGCAATAACTCAAACATCTCCACTTCGCCATCACTATTGCTTGGCACAAAATTTGGTGGCAATTCCAGATCGAATACGAACTCTGTATTGGGAAAGAGGCCTCTCTCACTCTCGAAGAACAGTGAAACACAGCCAGCACTTTTGAGATTGGTAAGTAAATTCGTTGGAATGCTACCCTCCTCACCAGCCTCCTTGATTGCTGTCTCGTTAATACCAAAACCCACGCTCAATCCACCACTGATCATGTTGTCCCAGTAGCCAGGCCATGTTTGTTTAGTGGGACTACGTTTTTGGAGCCAGATTGATAATCCCTTCACTGGATCCATCACGTACCCGTTGATGTCTACTCCGTATTTTCTTATTCCAAATAGGCCTATGGATTTTTAAATATTCAAAAGAATTTTATTAAATACTTTTCCCCTCATGTATCATATTCCAAATTCATTCGATGCGCGACGACGATATTTCAATAAGACTTTATCGAAAAGAATGACAATTTATTAAAAATAATAATTATCCAGTTAGAAAATACTCACTAGTCGCGGAGCGATCCATTTCCAACAGAGGTGGAGTATTGAATTGAGCACGAACTTCGTAACGCTCTTCCCTCCAGCCCCTGAGGGTAACAAATTTACCACTAGCTTTCCACTCCCTCAGGACTTCATCAATACGTGCACTCCTTTCAGCATAACCACGAAACGCTGGATTCAGCTGGACACAATCAGGTTGAATCTCAAATACCTGGAGTAAATAAAAGAGAATAATTAAAAATAAAGCCACATGACCCCCTCAAATTCAATTAACAATCATATAATCACTTGTGGATAGTTCACCAATTCCTTCATGACATCAGATCTAACGAGTCCCACCTGTTGTCCATCCACCACGAAAGCCCTGCATTTCCCTGCATGAAACCCTGAAAAAGAAATAAAAAATTACCACTCGTCTCGACACTCATAAATTCATTAAATCAATCAGACTATTTAATTTATCATAATTAATCACCTGTCTGGAATTCATAAAGCACACATCATTAAAAAAATAATAGTAACAAGTCATCAGGAAAACCAGATGTTTTGACAATTGAAATAATTCAAGGATAATTTGTAATTGCTCTCATTAATTCTCACAAATTCTTCCTGGATTGCAAAATAATCCATCACCAGTGCCAAATTCCCAGCTACATCGATAACTATTTTTACATGAACTCAACCTTGATTCATTAAAACGTCGCATATTAATACTAATAATAACAACTCTTCACGAATTCCGAGAGGAATTCGCGTGTTTTGCAAAAGCATAAATATGTCAGGTGACCTTCATTTTTTTTTTTCTCATACAACAGGAATGAACGAGGAAAACAGAAATTCTCGGCAAGGAAAAAATGAAAATGAGGAAAGAGTTGAAAAATAACGTGGAAAAATATTTGGGATGTCGAGGCAGTTAGAGGGGTGAGGATGATTTTTGGTTACAAAAAATCAACAACTGCTAGATCAATATCTGGCCACCCCTTCGGAGTCGAGGCAATTTCTACTGTAATAATAAAGGATACAGGGAAATTGATGGATATTTTTTAGGTGATGTTAATAAAAAAATCATAAAATCGTTACCTGACAGGTAAAAACAGTTGAATTTGTTGGCAATTTTGAGTAATCGTGACATTGGTTGTGTTTCGGTATCCGCCATGATGCTCGTCACAGCTTTTCCTTCACAGCTTCACAAATCACCGCCTCGAGGAGTTGATTTTAAAAAAATTCCTAATCGTAGAAACCACCCATCAACCTCAGACGATCGTTGAATCCTGTTTTAACTCGTTATTTTGGTTTTATCCCAGGGATTTTGCTCGATTAATTTTCGATTAATCGTGTACGCTTTGGGGAAGAGCTTTGACACCAGCGGATGTTCCTGCGCACTTCAATCCACTTCAGTCTTTGTGTATGTGACCGGATAAAATAAATAAACAGTAGAACGTCAATTATTCTGTAAGAAAAAAATTGAAAGGCTGAGTTGATTAATTCAGATGAGATTATTTTGTTTTTTTCTTACCGCTCACTATTGGTTTTCTCGGTTTTGTTTCGTTTTTTTTTATTAATATCGTTTTTTTTTATTTATTATTATGCAGAAAAGAGGAATTTATAATTTTCAGAAGAATTCCAGAGACAGAAATTTTATGACAGGGAAAAACGTCTTCTTTGGGGACTCGATGATTATTCTGTGAGTCATTGACAGGAAATTTCAAATCGTTTAGTTATTGTGAATACATTGGACTCTGTCGGTAAGCTAGGTAATTGCGGAGGGGAGTTTCAGTCGATTTTGGTGTGTGAAGTGTTGAGAAGAAATTCCGAAGAAAAAATTTGTTATAAGCCTAACGATAATTTGAAATGAAGGAGAAAGTAAAAAAAAGCAGAAAAAAGATTGTCCCAGAATCAGATTCTGATTATGACTCGTCTGATGAAGAGGTGAGCTCTAGGGGTTTAATTGAAGATTATTTTGAATTTCCAAGGGGTTAACCTAAAAAATCTCACGTGTTTTTGGGATTTGCAGCTGCAGGAGGCGTTTGCCAAAGGATTGCTCAAACCAGGATTAAATTCCATCGTCGTAACTGAGAAGAAGAAGACGAATAATAATATAGTGAGTCCCTGAAAAATAATATGAGATTATTTATTTATTTATTGGGATAATTTATTTACAGGCCCAATTGAAGAGGAAAACTGAAGAAATGAAATTGAAACTTCCCTGGATAGAGCGTCTCGATATAGTGAATCCTCCAGCTCCTTTGGCCCCGGAATTAGCCCTCCAGCTTCAGGAGACAGAGGAACGTCGTTTAAAACTCGCAAAAGGAAATAAAAAGCTCCCTCAGTACAAACCTGGAGAGGATCCAGTGGTGAATGACTTCAAACGAGAGACAATGTTCCATCGTCAGGCCCAGTCAGCTGTGATGGATGGCATCACGAGAATAAAAAAATTGGGGGTACCCACGATTCGCCCTGACGATTACTTCGCCGAAATGGTGAAGACTGACGAGCACATGCACAAGGTCAGAGAGAATCTGGCGAGAAAGCAGCTGGCGACTGAGAGATCTGAGAAGGTGAGACAGCTGAGGCAGCAGAGAAAAGTGGGAAAGCAAATGCAGATCGAGGCGACTCTGAAAAAACATGCGGAGAAGAAGAAAATGCTGGACGAGGTGAAGAAGTACAGAAAGGGAATTAGAAAGGATTTGGATTTCTTGGATGACAAGAAGACTGCGAACAGGAGTGGGTCTGATAAAGGGAATCCGAGGAGGAGGAAGGGGATTGAGAGAATGAAGATGAAGAACTCAAAATTTGGATTCGGGGGAAAAAAGAGGGGCAGCAAAATGAATACCAGGGATAGTGCAGCGGATGTCTCTGACTGGAAAAGACCTAGCAAATTTCCCACTAAAGGGGGAAAGGTCAAGAAAATGGCGAAAAAGGCGATGAGACCGGGGAAAAATAAAAGAGTCAGCATCAAGGCGAGGAGGAATTAATTCTTAAGGATTACTTTGTACAATAAATTCGATAATCGTAAGTCTAATAGTTCAATTTTTTAAATCCCTCTTTGTTGGATTTCTTTTGCTGCATGAATTATTATTATTTTCTCTTCGAGTGCTGGGGTTGCATTTCTCTTTTTGATGACGACAGAAAATACAGAAAGGGAATTTTTGAATGATTTGGATCTGTTGGGGAATTTATTTTTTAGAGACGAGGAATTGTTTTTTCGACAATAAATATGTTTTTAATAGACATACATCTCGTACGAGGTTACACGATATTAATACATGGTCATTTAACTGTCCAGCAATCAAACACGTTTTGTATTTTTTTAATCCTTTTTTCATCTTTTTTTTATGTTTTTTTTTTTGCTTTTTTCTTTCTTGGTTGATTTAATAGTGTTATACATTTTGGTAAATAATCGTCATTTTTTTTTCTTTACTCATGAAGCTTTTTTTTCTCACAATCGAAGCAATTTTTGCATAATAAAATTAAATGGAATCTGAAGAATTGAAAATTTTGAAAGTGCTCCCTCCATTGTTTTTAAATACAGTGATTTTTTGTCGAATTACTCGTCTAATTCTCTAGGTTCAATTTTTGACACTTAATTTTTTACAATTTTCACTTTTATCTCCACAATTATATCAAAAATTCATCGGGTGCTTTCATCTCTATTTTTTTTCACATTTTTATACCCTGCGCACCAGGAACTTAATTCAAGAATTGATAGTTTACAAATTTATTTACCAATTTATCACCATTTTTTATAAATCAGTGGAAAAAGATTTTTTTTTGTATATTTTGTTTCATTTGTTTTTTTTTTCACACGAGGCCTCGAGTAATTAAAGAGGAACGCTTCATATCTCCATTCATTTTTGTACAATTACTCAAAAGAAAGTGAAAACCAAAAAGATAAATAATCCATAATGATTAAATTAGTCATGACAACCCAGGAAAATGAAAATGAATTTTGTCTCTCTTATTTTAATTCTTCATGCATTGGAGGATTGTTTAATTTCTTTCTTTGATAAATTAGTTGTTTACCTTCTATCCGTAATTATAGACCTTAAATTATGTACCCTAGACTTGGTGTCCAGCACCAAACATCCACATTCACTCCATCCCCCTCCCCCATCCCTCCCCTCACCATCTTTTTGGTTTTCTCAATTTTGTTAAAGTTTCACTCTTCAACTTAAATGGTTCGTCTATGTATGACACAAATTACAGAAGTTAAAACGACTTTGGGCTGTCTTATCTGTTCATTTTCACACTCGTACTTGTCATCTATGGTACAATTAAATTTTATCACTATTTATTTATATCAGAATCGAGACGATTTGAGTCTTGTTTAACTTTGTAATCTTTCCCCACCGATACAATCACATCGACTCAACAATTTTCTTCTTCCTCTCCTGACATTTGATTCAACTCCAAAAAAATAATCGATTATCTGTATACACTGGATGGAAAATAATTCGCGTATCTGAATAATCCAATGATGATAAACTCGTCCCTAAAACACGAATTATCTCTTATCACTTTCAACATCCGTAATTCTCTAGTCAATTCGATAAAACTAGGCAAACAAGAAAAATGAAAAAAAAAAAAGAACATCAAATCCATACGTTAAAGTTACTCTTTGGTTAAAAAAATTGAATGTTATTGTACGTGATTTCAAGTCTAAAAAACTTTTATCATGACTAATTGATATCTGAATGTGAACAAATAATATTAAAAAAGAAAACTCGAGATAACAGAGACCAGCTCTGTTGCAACAGACTCAATACTTAATATAAAATGTTGAAACATTTTCGCTAGGTAAAGAAAACAATCAGAGAAGATGAAAAAAAAAATTGAGAGTAAACTCAAAGTTAATGGGCGTAAATGGATTAATAATTTTGAGACCGCTGATAACGGGCTCGACGAGCTTGAGTCGATGGCAACAATTCTCCCATTCTTGAGATCGATAACAACCTGGAATTAGGTACTAACAATTTCTTTCCTCATTTTCTGCTTGATATGTCGTCTCTTCACATCCCGACGATTTCAAACACATAAGAGACTCGTAAAAATCTCCCCCTATTCCCACCCCTCGATCAATTTTCAAACCTTGCAGGTACTTATCTGAGATTCCCCCCCTCCAACAATTCATTTTTCTTTTAAACCTATATCTCTACGTTTTCGGCATTCGCAAATGATTTCAGTGTTGACATTACGACAGATCGGCTTGCAGATCGGTCCAGCCGATGATTTTAACTCACCGACCATTTGAGACATCATCAAAGTATTTTAAACATCGTCATTAATCCTATTGAAGCAATGACGTGCAAAGGGAGAAAAGCATTTACTGGTGTACACGCCACCAGGATTGCTGAAATTTTTCATGGAGTTTTTTGCAAATACCCGCCAATTTCCGTCACATTCCAGGATCATTTGAGGCATCACCAGCTTCGCCCTCAGCTTCGGTTCCACTGTCATCGACATTCTCACCAGATTCATCCCCTTCCTCCAGCGTCACCTGAAAATGAATCCTGTCCGAGGACTGATCTCCACTCCTGTCATCAGGTGGTGGTGATGGCGGTATCATAGACTGATACCAGTCTCTGTTCTCCTCAAGTGTATCAAGAATCTCCTGTGCATCTGGGTGAACGAGATCAGCCCAGGTCTCCCACAGGGGATGAACGATATAATCAATGAATCCAACTTGGGTTTTTTCGATTGTTGCACTGTGTCTGTCGCACATTGGACTTATATCCATGTTCTGCTCTCTCTCGCGGTCACCCTGGAGGAAGAACTCCTCCATCAGGAGTGTCACCCACTTTCTGTAGAGATCCAGGGGTTTTGTGGGATTGGAGAGGTCAGCGCAGTGCACCAGGTTCTCAAGAACTTGAATTCTGTCGGTGTAGTTGTCCAGGAGTAGAACACCTGATCCCGCAACTTTCTTTGTTTCGACCATTGTCTTGAGATCAGCCAATAGGGACATGTGCTTCGACATGTCTGTGGACAGCACCATGTCTATCACCATTTTTCTCAGGGTCTGACGCTGTTTCTTTGTCATGTTGGCGAATATGTCACAGCCCTCGTTTTGGAGGAGTTTGAATGCCACTGCCAGGTGGTGATTCTCCAGGACAGACTCGTCGTTGTACATGAGAGCCAGTTCCGAGCCTGAAATCATCAGTTTATTTTTTCTATTTAATTTCCATAGAAAAATAAAAATATACATAATAAAATTCAATTCAATATATTCTTGTCATAGATATATAAATTGAAATTTCAATTTTAAAATTAAAAATTAATCTTTTGACATATGCAATTGAGTTTTGTATTTGAAAAATTGAAATCCTTGAAAACTCACTTGAATTAATGAGGAACTGATTGGTGAGGCCCGGATGATCGACGTCATGTATCGTAGCAGCGAATAGAGCTGCAGTAATTTCGAGTGGTGTAAAGACCGACTGTAATGATAAAAAGAAAAATAAGTGAATAAAATACCGTGAAAGCCCTGAAACACCTGAAATCAATATCAAAGACATTAACTGACGATTTTACCTCTAGCGCCGGTGTATTGAGTAGCGTATGCGTCGATTGTGTGACGTCAGCTGCATGAAGGCTGTTGTGAAAGGGATTGTCCTTGACATAGTGATCCTCAAGTGTCATCATAAATGTGACAAATGTTTTCGGTGGTATTGCCAATGATTTCAGTAGATCTCTGCTCTGAAATGCTGTGTAGGCCACGCAGGTCAATGGTCTGTTGTTACTGAGCTCGGCTATTCTGAATATATCGATTCCCCACTTGTCGATATCCGAAAGAACCTATAAACAATAAATTTACAACTCTGATTATAAAAAAAAATGGACAATTTTCTACCGAAAAAAATCAATGCTTCAATAATTTTGGAAATATCTCAGAAACTGAGGGAGATCGTTGAATTTTCGTTAGAACCTTTTTTATTGCACCAATCAAGAGTCATAAAAAAGGTATTAACAAAAATTTCGCTATCTCGTTTTATTTACGAGATATTTATCGGTTTCGTTACGAAAAATTTGGGTGTTCATTTTTTATTTTATTTTTATTTGCAAAGATTAAGATTTTTATTTATTGAGAAACAGTTACATCGATTAATCGATTAATTGAACGGTTAACGTTAATTTCCACGCAAATACCCAGATGTTCAATACACGTGTTCTCCACGGATTGACTATAAAAATAAAGAAAATTTGCATCCATTATTTTCCTGGTGCAGCTATTTCTCGTTCAGAAAATCCTATTTTAATTGTGAAATGCAAGGCGCAGTATTTTAAAATTCTTCCCACGCTCAAAACCCGCGTAATTTCATCAGAGAGTAAATTAAAAATAGAGAGAAATAAAAAAACACAAAGGGAATATCCAGGAAATGCATTTTTCATCAGTTTATGCCCTCTCCTTTATCAAACTTGAAATTAAAACGAAGAGAAAAAAAAA